CCATTCACCATTGCACAACCCCTGATGCTGCATTAATACTGCACTATACGGTAGAGTTCAGAAGGGAAATCTGGGAAGATGTGACCACATGTCTCCGATCCTGTTGTCTAGGCCACACCTATGCCAATGAAAGCTCTGATCTTCTCTTTCAGAGAGCAGTCCCCTTCTTTGTCAATGCCACCTGTGGCACCACTGTCCTGGGAGCCTTTGACCCCCTGCCTGAGATTGCAGAGGTGTGCATGAGACACAAACTCTGGCTCCATGTGGACGTAAGTACAATCTGTGGAGGACCTTCTAGAGATGCTTTGGAATGGAGAGACAGGCCCACCACAAGAGGAGGAATGGTGTATCTTTAAAACCTGAATGCTGTGAGACCAAGAGGCAATGGGGTCCCTTCTGATGTCTTGGTCAGGAGCCAAAGGGTGACATACTGTATATATGCATTAAGGCTTTCCAGGTCCTCAATGCTGCAATATCAGTCTTTTGGCCATAGTGAGGGCACAGAGAAGCCATTTATGTTGTCTCTAGATGTCAAATTCCATGTACTAGGTATATAGTTCAAAAGAATATTATCCTCTGAAAATTTTAGCTTTTGTCACACAATCATATTGATGTAGACCGCTACTTTCTCCCAAAACATAGTAAGTATAGGACATTGTAAAAACACATGCTTTAAAGGGGCATTGTCCTTATTACATCTCCAACAAAATGCTATTCTTGACCATCCTTTTCTATACAGATGTACATAGTAGAGTCCAATAAATTCTAAATATTATTTTTTGTTGTATAAGTCATAGTTTAAGGTCCATTGACACTCTTGCTATAGAAGTTAAGACACCCTCCCATTGTCTAGGCAATATAGAAACCTCTAATTCTTTAATCCACTCATCCCTTAATATTTGCATATCAAATTGATGTATAGATAATTGATATATATAAAAGCTAATAGTATTTTTTTTTAGTTCTAAAGGATTTAACAAGTTGTTTTAGTATCTCAGGTGTCTTGGAAGCTGAAAATGTTGCTGGTCCAAACAATGTTGTTATCAAATGTTATAGCTGTCGATATTGCCGTTGAGATACATCTGATAGATGATATTTATCTCTTAACATCACATATGTTAAAAATTCATCTTCATCATCTATCAGTTGGTCCAGAGTCAATATCCCCGCTTCCGTCCAACTTTTCCATATCACCCTCTTCTTCCCAATTTTTAATGCTGGCTTTCCCCATCGGGTCCATTTAGCATGGGAAAAAGGACTGAATCTTTTTTTTTAATTAAACATTCCATTCCATAGCTTTCTAACTGTCATAATCGTTTCCAAAGATATTAGAGCTCTGTTGTTTCTTTAAATCAACTACTCAGTGAATGTTCTGCATAAGCCCGGATTTTCACGTTCTGCTAAGAGTTCAGGGCCTCAAGATTCTTTTAGCCTTTAACAGCTAACCCGCTAGCTTTTAGGGCTGTAGAGAGAAGTTATGTGCGCTTAGTGGCGCATCTGTATTCATGTGCTCCACTCTGTCGTGGCTCCCTTGCTAGAGTTTTTCAGCTGCCCCTGAAATTACTCTGCAACAATTTGAATTATTTGCCGGTATTTTTAGTTTGGGATTTCCCGTTGTAGCAGCACTTCATCCACGTGCTTTTGACCAGACCACTTTTTAAGCAACTCATACAGCTCTTTTATTCCACTGCAGGCAGCCTGGGGTGGCAGTGCTCTCCTCTCCCAAAGACACCGGCATCTTCTGGATGGGATTGAGAGGTAGATACTGTTTCTTAGGGAGATGAGCTGTGGGTTAATGGAAAGATGCAGCCAGGACTGGATGCAAACAGGGACGAACAGCTGGAGCTGTTGCATCTTTACATAAAGAAATAGTTTACAGTCAGTGGCTTTATGGAGCTTGAGGGATCTCAGTTGGCCTTTGAGTCACTGGATCCCCACTGAATTAGACACTGCAGGACCACTTTCACTGTCTGTCTGTCTTGGCAGGACAGCAGACAGTAAGACAACAGTTCCCTTTCCTGGCAGAGCTGCCCCAGTGGCACAAAGAGTAACCCTGCTGGATCCAAAGTCAGTGGGAGGAGAGGCAAACAAGACCACAATAGATGTGCTGGAATGAAGCACTGGATCAGGCAGATGCGTGTTGGAAGTCAGAGATGGGCTGTGGTTAGATACAGGGCTGGTTGGCTGGTTGATGAGGCCAGACAGTCTGTACTGTTATACATCAAGGTTGGCAGATTGCTCTTTCTGAGGGATTGGCCTGAATGAAAAGTCTTGTGCATCTCCATGGGTCAGCTGGCCATCTTCCAGCCCAAAAAATTAGCTTAGAAGTAACTAGGTTGGTACTGCAGCCTCCAAAGTTTTTGCAATTGTTCAGAAAAGACGGGAACCACTCAGTTAAGAAACATTCCTCCCTCCTTTTTTTTTTTTGACCTTAAGAGCATGGGAGTTAATGTTTTTTGCTGAATCAAACAATGATTGTAGTGGCATTTATGCATCCCCTTGACCTGCTGAGACTTGTCTGTGGGATCAGAATGGCAGTGATGGCACAGGAGACTCTGGTTCAAGGCCTTTTTCAGAGTATGACCCCTAGGGTGCATGTTAAGAATCACATATAAACGGAAGGAGTCTGGTAGCACCTTAGCAGATTAACGAATTGTATTAAAAGCTGATCAGCTTAGCCACTCTGTTGCATCTGATGACGTGAGCTGCAGCTCAAAAAGCTTATGCCTTTTAATACAATTTGTTAGTTCAAAAGGTGCTACCAGACTCCTCCTGATTTTTGGATGCCGTAGACCACTGTTTCTCAACCTTGGCCACTTTAAGATGAGTGGACTTCAACTCCCAGAATTCCCCAGCCAGCCATGGCCAAGGTTGAGAAACACTGCCATAGACTAACACATCTCTCCGACGATCTGTACAAATGGAAGGTCCCAAAAGACAGAGGTATGCCACTGAATTTTTACAGTCATCTAAATATGATTATTAGCATTTATTTGTATACCTAGCTTATCCAATTATGGAATGCTCATTTCTATGTTCAATCCAGGGCAGATTCGGTGGCTTGGAATCCCCACAAAATGCTTATGACTGGGCTTCAGTGTTCTGCCTTCCTCCTCCGAGACAGCTCTGTAAGTATTCAGCACCTCTCTCTCTTCTGCTTGATTTCTACTGCTTCAGCTAGCAATATTAAAGGTGGAACTCCATAGAATATGGAAGAGCAACATTCTGGTCAAGGCTAATGTCCAATGGCTCTCTAACTCTGAAGTTTTACCACCTATTTTTGTTACAAAGATAATATTTAAACCTATTCTGAGTCATAATATTTAGAAACTTTGTAAGAAATCAGAGCTACGTTTCTAAAGGTGTTGAAATAAATGACTGATACAAAGCTTTATGCTGGATTGTGGGAGATACCCTATTCTTACTTTTCAAAAAGCATTCCTTGCTTTAGGCAGAGAAGATGCTTGCCTCTCAAACTGGCAAGGTCTATTTTCATATAAGGGAAGGACAATCTTGTCTAATATGAGTCTGTCTGCCCATTAAGATATCTTGGAATTTGTTGTTTTTCTTCATGAAGATTAGAAATGCATTTGGCTGGGATTAAAAAAAAAAAAAAAAGAGCCTTTTCAAAAGTTCATCTCTGGATTCTGGAATCTCCTCCCTCTTCCTGCTGGCCCTCTTTCCAATTTTGGCTGGCATTTGACCTGCCATGCTGTTCATGCTTTGAACCAGAGACTACAATGAGTAACACCCTCCAGATAGGATTTAACTTCTTATCCTATGCCATTGACCATACTGCCTAGAACCAACTGTAGTTTAACAACATCCCCAAGGTCTTATGTTGCCCATCTCTCTTTTAAACTCTCTGGTTCCTGACTCTGAGCATGTGATCATCCCTCTTCTTATCACTTCTTCCAGTTCATTTTTGAAGTTCTTTGAAACGTTGGCATTAATCTGCTTTGAGCATTTTGCATTGTCAAGTAGAATAAATCATTTTATGTGAAACACATAGTTGTTGTTTTTTTAAGATGTAACTATTGTGATACCCCTTTCTTCCCAGGGCCTGCTGCAGAGATGTCACTGTGCCCAAGCCACCTACCTCTTCCAGACAGACAAGTTCTACAACATAGCTTTTGACAGAGGAGACCAAACAATCCAGTGTGGACGCAAAGTAGATTGTTTTAAGTTGTGGCTGATGTGGAAGGCCAATGGCAGCAAAGGCTTGGAGCAGAGAGTGGATAGGGCTTTTGCCTACACTAGGTATGTGGAAGCCTATGTACAGAGTGTACTAGGTATGGGATGAGTTCTTCCTCCGTTCTTCAGCAGGTGAGTGGCCTGTGGTTCAAGCATCTTCCCTAGCATTTTCTTCCTTTTTATCCTAGGTATCTAGCTGATGAGATTAAGAAGAGAGAAGGCTTTCAGCTAGTGATAGAGGTAAGAACTACCTGGCCTTCAGGACTTACCTTGCTGCAGGCATGTAGGGCTCATCCTGAAGCTGTTATGAAAAGGGTGCCTTTTAGCATGTCCAAAGTGGTATTTCTGCCACAATAAATAACTTGGGCTGTTCTTACACATAAGAACCTGCCTGGTGCTCAGATCACTGATCTGTGGAACCAGTTAACAAAGGAAGGGGTGAGTTCTGGATGTGTTGAAAAACAGGGGCTGGATAAGTGTCTGTTGCAGGTGCTTTAATTTGGATTCCTGAACTGAAGGAGGTTTGGATTCAATGGTCTAAATGGCTCCTACCAATTCATAATCTGACACCAGTTCTAACTTGCCTTTAAGTCAGCAGCAAAAGCCTTTGTCTTTTTTGCTCCTTGAGACATAATGCCATGTTTTCACATATTGCTAATCCAGATTTTGCATGTGTGTGCGTGTGCGCCTTCAAGTCATCGTTGACTCCTGGCGACTGCCTGGACAAGTCCCTGCAGTTTTCTTGGCAAGGTTTTTCAGAAGTGGTTTGCCCTTGCCTGTTTCCCAGGGCTGAGAGAGAGTGACTGGCCCAAGGTCCCCCAGCTGGCTTTGTGCCTAAGGCAGGACAAGAACTCACGGTCTCCCAGTTTCAAGCCTGGCACCTTAACCACTACACCAAGCTGGCTCTCAATCCAGAAATCAGGAGTTGCAACATTTTTTGGCTGTCTGGGTCTCAATTTGAAAAAAAAAAAATACTGAAAAGGCAGTAATATAGTGGGATCATCTGAAGGGGTGGAGGCAGGAATTTTGACTTCATGTTTGTGGGGGATTGGTGTACCTTTTTAAAAATGAGAACTGGTGTTTTTCAGATGACTAATATATTGATTTTACTGCTTTTTCCAAAACAATGTGGAAAATTATGCCACCGTAATTTGACAGTTTGCCACTGAGTTGCAGTCATGCAATTTGAGGAGCTTTGGGCCCCTTCAAAAGGGGGCTAGGGTTGCCACAAGCAGATCAGAAGTTGCTTACAAGTAACATAAGCCATGAATTAGAAGCCACAATGGTTGGGTTCACATATCATGCTGAACTAAAACCAAATAAACCATATTACTGTTCAGAATGCCAGTTTCTTTACTGACAATGTATCACTTCCATAAGAAAATAACATCCTACTGCACAAAGGTTAGGGGGAAGAAATATAATTTCACATGCTTCACTTTTAAGATTTATTCCAGTTTTTTTCCCCCCCTTTTTCAGCCAGAGTTCATTAATCTCTGTTTTTGGTACGTACCTCCCAGTCTACGAGGGCAAGAAGGCTGTGCCGATTACTGGCTGAAACTGGGGAAGGTAAGTTTTGGGTCCTTGAAATGGGAGACAGAGAAGGAAAACCCCTCCGGAGGCTCCGAGCTTGTAAAATAAGTACAAAGCAGAGTTCACAAGTTTTTGGATCCAGCAGTTCTTAGGATGGAGGAAAGCTCTTTCAGGATGAATGGACACGTGTACATTTGTTGCTTGCTTGCAGGATCAAGCAGCACTCGATCCAGGAATCCTAATTCCTGCCTCTGAGCCCTACGGAAAAGAGAGACAAGGGGGAAATACGGGCCATTTGTGTTGTAATGCAGTACCTAATTTGATTTCACATTTAAAAGTCATCTTTTCAACCTGTCTGTGAATGAAGTTTCGCTAAGCGGGGGGCGGGGGGAGGGACCTCTTGTACCATCATAATGCAACCAGTTTCTGAGAGCTTTTGTTTGTTTTTCCTTGGTTAGGTAGCTCCACTGATCAAGGAGCAGATGATGAAGAAAGGATCCATGATGGTGGGCTACCAGCCACACGGCAAAAGGGCGAACTTCTTCCGCCAGGTGGTCACCAATCCGGCAGTCACCAGAGAGGATCTGGATTTCTTCCTTGATGAAATTGAGAGGCTTGGCAGAGACCTGTAGATGGTGTTTGCACGTTGTGTTTAGCTGTACAACGCAGATTGGAACAATTAAGCATTTTATTCAAAAGCAAGACAACATATTACTTTCAATCACTGCACACCAACCATGCACAGGGGCCATGAGCAGGTACCACTAGTGTGGTGTGTTTGCTGCTGCTCAACCATTCTACAGACAAATGCGTTGTGAAGATGTAACAGTAGTCTGTGTGCCCTGCTACCCATACTTTTTCACTGAAATCCATTTCTGTAATGGTGGGCTGTTTCCAGAATTAAGGCAAATGTATGCTTCAATTTCTCCACTGCTTTCTGCCAAAAAACAAGGAAAGCTTAGGACTATCAAATGTGGGCTCCAAAATCCAACAGTCCCTAGATAGCAGCAAATAGATAGAGAAAACTCCATCTCTTTGCTGCCATCTAGTGGTTTGGAATTTGGCAGCTCAGAATGGAGAACTGTAACTTCCTAGTGATTATTAATTCTGGCTTCACCTCGGCTCTGTCTGAATCAACATAATGCTTTTCCATGGGCATCTGGTATACCTTTCAGTAGCCCTTCTCTTCTTGAAAAGGAGCAGCTTGAGAATGAGAAATGACTGATGCTGTTTTAAGGGGTTAGCAGAGCAAGAATACAGCGTCTCAGCCTCTCGAGCCCTGCTTTGATTATGCGCCGGCACGTCGTGTCGACTCTTAATGACCACATAAATAGATTTTCTCCATGATGATCTGTCCCTAACCTGATCTTTCAGGTTTTCCAACAGTACATCCCCCAGTTCCTGCTGTGTTGCCTCATCGTGGCTGGGGGTGTTCCTGGGAGGGATGAGCAAAGAACATTGGGAGTGCGTGCCAAGAGTATATATTCCCAGCAGGGTCACCCAAGGTGTGACGGTGCAGGCACCTATGTTGGGCAGCGACAGTATAGGAAGATGCTGGAGGCAGAAGACTGCTTTAGTGACAGCAGCAAAGGCATCATTTCATACTGTGCGGGAAAAGGCAACGGTAAACCACTCCTGTATGTTTACCAAGAAAACCAAATGGACAAGCCCTGCTTTAGAAGACCAAAAATGAACAGTTCTACTTTTTGGACAAATTTAGAGGAAACTAACTTTTCCTTCTATTTTTCAAGTAAGGTTTAATTAAAATCTATTCTACATCCTTCTCTCTCTCTTTGTGCTTTTGGGTCAGTGTTGACTCCTGGTGACTGGACAAGTCCCTGCAGTTTTCTTGGCAAGATTTTGGAAGTGCCTGCTTCCTAGGGCTGAGAGAGATTGACTGGCCCAAGGTCACCCAGCTGGCTTTGTGCCTAAGGCAGGACTAGAACTCACAGTCTCCCAGTTTCTAGCTTTGGTATCTTTACCTACTATAGTTATTTGTTTTTTTAATGGATGGAAAGATGAACAAAACAAATGCAAAACTAAGTGTTGCAGAGCTTGAAATTCTGTGTGCACATTTTACTTACCCTCCTATGTATTTAGATGTATTGCTTTTATACATCAATATCATTTTATATATGGCAGCATTAGAAATAGCTGTGTCTCTGCCCCCAAAGAGCATTCAATTGTTTATAATTTTTAAAACTTTATTTTGGTAGACATATTAAGTAATCCTTTGTATTTTTAAAAAGTGCAAAAGCAAACATAGGATGAATGTGGACCATGTTAAAATTTACAGAAGCAAAGCCAATGAACAGGAAAGAAACCCTACAGCTAGTATAATGTAAGCAATGAATAATTAAAGTGAGCTTTACAACAATGGTTAATAAGGCATGGACATTTATTTAAACTACAATCTAAACTACAAGGGTAAGTCTTGAGCTGAAAGATCTAGTTTACTTCTGCCCAGAGTTAACATGCTCTGCAGTTAGTAAAGCCTCATTTTCTCAAATCGCTGAAGGGAATGGGAAGAATTCTGCCTGGATAGCTACTAGTAGGATACATGAAACAAGGATGGTTGTTGATATCCTGTTGATATCAAATGCAATGAAATACAGGGAGGACCTAAAAACCTGTGGTAGGACCAATAAGGTCTTTATGATAAAGTCAGAAATTCCATATTGCCACCACATGTGGAAGAAAGTATTTTTTATCTTTGCTACAAAAGTGACCCAAGTTTTAGAAGTCAGGGGACAGGTTTTGTTTTATTTTTTAAATTGTATCTTTTTGGCCACCAATAGCTGCACTGAATGATACGGAGACATGATGATGCAGGCTGGGATGTGGGGCACAGTTCTCTACTGTGTAGATGTGTGTGTGTGTGTATGAGAGAGAGAGAGAGACATATGTGGAATATTTAATTTTTTTAGGTATGAAACCTACTAAGGACCTTTATAAAGCTAAGGCTGGGCTCAAAGCAATGCTTCATTTTAAATTATGCTTTGTTGAATAGGGTATATAATGGCAACTTTTACATTTACATACATACCACACTGACTGAGTTCATGCATTGTGTTAAATTGCAAGTGAGACAAATGGCATTGCACTGGCTTACCACAGTATGCGAACCCAGCTCAGGAGTTTGTACTGGAAAGGAGTGGGAAGCCAATGGCGTGCATTTAAAAGGACATCACATAATCTGTGTGATAAGAGAGGTAAATATTACTGGGTTGCCTCTGAATTGGTTTTCACCTTCCAGATGTTTCATTACCTTCCTTTATAACACCATCAGTGCATGAAGTGGGGTTTGTGGGTGGTTGTTTCTATCATCTATCCTTCCTTCCTTTCTTCTCTCTCCAAACAGCTATGTATAACTATCACCAAGTTCAGAGAGCACCAAGAACCCAACAATTCAATCCCAAGATCCATATGTTCTCCACTATGGCAAGAGGTAATTACTATTTTTATAGCGTTTAAAAAAAAATGGGAGTGGATCCAAGTGCAGGCAGAACAAGATAAGACTAGCACATGACCCAGTTGTAATGGAGAAGACAGAGAAGAATAGTTAGATTTGTTTTGTCATTTTATATAGAGAAAAGCAAATAAAACTTCAGCGCAGAATGAAGGAAATAAAAAGGGAGAAAAAATAAAGAGAAAGGAAAGGTTGCAGGCTTGTTCATCAGAAAAGGAGATATTGCAACAGAGATGGAGCAAGAGAAAGCAAGCTTGGGAGTGAAGTTAAATAGTTTGTCCAATATGAAAGGGGTTACCAACAATTCCCCACCCCAATATACTGTTATTACTAGTACTTTGCAGCACTTCAGATCCAAGCTAAGAAAGTGCTTTGAAGGGGGTGTGCTCACACACCCTGCACCTTTGTTACTTCCTTAAAGAAGGGCCATCTTTTCCTGTGTTCATACAGTAGCTGTGCAATTCCAGGAAAATAGACACTTGAGTTAAGAAGACACTGGCAGTATGCCCACACCTGTTCTGAAGTACCTTGTTGCACCCTGATAGTTAAAAAAATTCCCTACAACTGCGTCACATTGAATAGCAAATTTGGTATTTAATGGCAACACTCACAGGTGGTAAGAAGGACACTGAATGCTGATGAAGCCCATCTCCTGCAAGGTTGGGTGACCTTTTTCAAGAACTTTTTCAGGTGTTTTTTATTCTATAAGAAAAGCATAGGTGCTGGGGTCAAGTTCTACCCCTTCCTGGTTAAGAAGGTTATACAGGTGGCCTGCGGTGGCCTTGTCCTTTTCACGGTTCTTCCAATCATACAACATTCTGAAAACTTGCATGACAATGTTTTTAGGATTCTCTTCTTCAATCTGCTCCAGACGTGAATTTTCCATACCCAGGAACAAAATCCCAATCATCTTCCAGTTCTTGCCCACTTTGCTGGCTAGTCTCATCAGCTGTTGTTGTGTAACCAGCTTGGGTGGTGCTGAAAAAAGAGGGAAGGAAAACGTATAAATGCAAGAGATGAGCTGACACAGTTTTCCTCTATATGTATTTCTGATAATATTGTACAGGTAATCCTCGCTTAACAACAGTAATTGGGACCGGAATTTCTGTTGCTAAGCAATGCAGTTGCAAAGTGTGATGTCACATGTCCACATTGCTTAGCAACAGCAGTCCCTGTTGCTGTAATTAACCAAGGATTGCGGGCTGTTAAGTGAGGACCTCCTCACAATTCCTACCAGCTTCCAACAAGCAAAGCCAATGGGGAAGCCAGCAGGAAGTTGCAAGTCCTGGGTGGCTTGCAAGCAGGCCGGTGGGCATGTAAGTGGCTGTTGCAATGCAGTGTGAATGGGCAAGGATTGGCTGCTGCTAGGTGTGGGAGGCCACACAGGTGGCTGCTGTGGTGCAGTGCAAGTGCAGCCAGGTGGCCATACGCTACGCAGTGTGGGTGGAGTGGCTGCAGGTACACTACAGAGTATGAGATCCCTGGGATCTCATACATGTAGTCCTCGACTTATGACCATTTGTTTAGTGACTGTTCAGTTACAACAGTGCTGAAAAAGTGACTTACAATGGGTCCTCACACTTACAACTGTTGCAGCATCCCTGCGGTCATGGGATCAAAATTCAGGTGCTTAGCAACTGGCATGTATTCACGACAGTTGCGGTGTCCTGGGGTCACGTGATCACCATTTGCAACCTTCCCAGCCAGCTTCCAACCAGCAAAATCAATGGGGAACTGCGTGATCCACTTAATGGCTGTAATTCGCTTAACAACCATGGTGATTTGCTTAACGGCTACCGCAAAAAATGTCATAAAATCAAGTGTAGTCATGTGATGCCTGTGATGGAATGGAATTATGAAGGCCAAACTCAGGGAGGGAAACATGCTCTTTTGTCTCCTGAGGGGCGAGGAAGAGATAAGAGGATGAGGCTGGCACCCCCCTGAGGAATTCACTCTGTTTTGACTGGCTGACTTTGGGAACTCAGGTTTCAGTCTCGGAAGATTCTTGCTAGAGGTTGTAGCTAATAAACATTCTGAACTGGATCTACATGGTCTCCTGGAGTTCCTTGGGCTAGGCCTGACATGCCTTGCTTAACAACTGCACCACTTAACAACAAATTTTCCAGTCCCTATTGTGGTTCTAAGTCAAGGACTACTTGTACTCTGTAGCCAGGCTCTTCAGGAGAAAAAGCAAAAGGAGCAACTTGCAACTTTCACTGCCAGCTTCCCCATTGACTTTGCTTGTGGGAAGCCAGCAGGAAAGGTCACAAATGGCAATTACATGACTGCAGGACACCACAAGGTTGCCAAGGACCATTGTAGCTTTGAAAGGTCACTGAATGAGTGGTGGTTAACTGAGGACTACCTGTACTTGCCTCAAATCTGTTCCAGGAATTAGTACTAATGGAACACCCAGGTCATTATGCAAGACTATATCATGGTGGTTAGGGTCAGAAAATTGCTGGATTATGATATATTTTTTTATAGGATAAATAGAATAAAGAAAAAAGTCACCATCTGCTTATTGTATCCCTAGGCAACTAACCAGAGAAAGGATTTTGTTGTTAAATTAATTTTGGGGTTTCATTATATAGTATGTTGGCTCCAGGTATTTAGATTACTCCCCCAACAAGCTTTATAATAAATTAATAAACTGTAAAAGCCACAAGAGAGCCAGTGTGATGCAGCAGTTCAAGGCACCAGGCTAGAAACTGGGAGACTGGGAGTCCTAGTCCTTAGACACGAAGCCAGCTGGGTGACCTTGGATCACCCATGCTCTCTCAGGCTTAGGAAGAAGGCAATGGAAAACCACTCCCGTAAAGGTTGCCAAGAAAACTGTATGGACTGGTCCAGGCCGTCATTGGGGGTCCATACGGCCCTGAAGGCACAAACACACACGCCACAAGCCATATAATGACTAATGGTCAATTGCAGTCACAGGCCTTGTAATATTTAACACTATAAAAATGTAGATACAATATATGGGTGAACAAGCCTTGTGGATTTATTTGCAAGCTGTGGTCTTTTCAGAAACTACAAGGGCTAATTTTTTTGAGTCCTGATTCAGCTAGTCAAAAGAGTCAATCCCAATTCATGGCATGTGCGTTTGGAAAAAAACGCACTCTGAATAACCCCATAAGCAAGAGCAGCCGCCACTCCTCTGCTGTGCTGGAATCCTGAGAGGTGGGCTCGACTCCAAGGGATGGAGGAAAAAGCCGTGCCTCATGTCTGCCACATCAGATGGCACCTCGCTCAGGCACAGCACAACTGGGCCCGTTCCTTCCATCACAGACAACCCAGATTCTTCTTACTGGCAGATCTGCAATTTTGGCTCTACCCTAGATTGTAGCTTTTTGGGGAAGAGAGCCAGTTGGGTCTAGTGGTGAAGGCTCCAGGCTAGAAAGCAGGAGACGGTGAGTTCTAGGCCTCCTTTAGTCATGAAAGCCGGCTGGGTGACTTTGGGCCAGTCCCTCTTTCTTAGCCCTACTCACCTCACAAGGTTGTGGTTGTGGGGAAAATAGGAGGAGGAAGGAGTATTAGGTATGTTTGCCATCTTGAGTTATTTATAAAAATAATAAAGGTGGGATAGAAAATCTAAAAGAAAAAAGAAAAAAATTAGGATTGCTCCTCAGAACTCATAGCATCCATAGCTTGAGCTCTTCCAGTGCTTCTGCCTTCCTCCTGTCTATTCGTGGTGCTGCATCAACTCAACCTAACATTATTTTCACGGGGCAGTTGCACTATGAAATTGATGGATACTAAGGAAAGGACACCACATGACTGCAGCTCCTATACAAGAAATTCCTAAGCAGCTATAGGGTGTTCCTTGGACCTTCAAATCCATCTTGGAAAATTTACCACTCTATCAGTGGGGAGAGAGAGCACAAGATTATAATTTCACATATATAAAGGCAGATGTCACAAAACTGCTTTAGCATTAAACAACACTTGCCTTTATGTATCTGAATTTATAATATTGTGCCATCCTTTTCTCAACAGATACACATTTAGTGAAATTATGAACTCTCCAACCTGCTTGAAATTGGGATCCAGGAAACTCCCTCACATAGCTGGCCTCCTACATACAGGCAGTCCTCGTTTAGTGTCCACAATTGGGACCAGCAACTTGGTTGTTAAGCAAAGCAATTACTAAGTCAAACCACGATTGTGCTTATGATCTTACCTCAGCTTTTGTTTGCTTTACAGCCTTGTGAAGGTCGTAAATGCAAGGATTGGTTGTAAAGTTACTTTTTCATCACCGCTGTAACTGCAAACAGGCATTCTTCTGTCTTCTCTCTTCCCACCCTTTTATTATCTGCTTTACTGTTGAAATGTTATTGTATCCCTAGGCAATTAACCAGGGGATTCTTCTGAATTCCTAGTTTTATTTTAGTTATAACCAGCCACAGCACCTAGCAATAATCATCCCAGCCCAGGTGACTAGGTTCAAATGCAGATCTTGCAACCAACAATATTCAAAGTACTTTTCCCACTCTCTCTTCTATCTCCCTGTCCCCGTCCCCAGCTGTGTTCTGTGTAGCATCTCAACTGCTCTGGACCATTTGAAAGAACTCAAGAATATTGGAAAGCCCGTCCATTTCTGCACTGATTTGTCTTGGAAAACACACTGACTGTCCAAACTGTGATTGTATGGCAGCAGGGGCACTCAAATAAAGTAGTAGATCGATACAAACATAAATAAGATTTTCTGGCCCGCAGCATGGAACAACTTTTCTGTCTTTGCTGTTTTAAAGCATGGGGTAATTGGGCATAACAAGAGGACCCCAGGACGTCCTACATAAAGTTCAGGACAGCCACTTTCGGCCTCTATGGAGCTCAGCTAGCCCCCCGGCCGCCTCTCTGTTCACCTGCCGCCGCCGCCACTTCCCTCTCTTCTTCGGTCCTCTCCCCCCAGGGACCCACTCCGCTCCGTTCGCCCTGAAGCATCGAGACGAGATCTCTCCTCGGCATTTTGTTTAACACCTCGGCGGTGACATCTAAGGCTTCCACGGGGTAATACTGCAGGATCACCTCCGCTAGGTCCACCCGGGAGACGGTGTCGCGTTTCCCGCGCGGGATGGTGGCGGGCAGGTAAAAGGCGAACTTCGGGAGCTCGTCCATTGTCAGCTCCTCGAGGATCCTGAGCAATCTGTGCCTCTGCTCCATGACCGGTCTTCAGTTCCTGGGGTGCGGGGCTCGTGGGGCGCTTCGCGAAGGGAAGGCGTCTGGGGCCGGGGGGCGCGAAGACGAATCGAAACGCCGTCCCCTCCTCCCGCCAGCCCCGATTTTCCAGCGAGGCGGGAAAGCGGTCCCGGGAGAACAAAGGGCGCGCGCGAGAGGGCGGCGCTGCGTCCTTTCGCTTTCAGATTCTTTTCCTGCCTGAGTGGAAGGAAATTCGTCTTCGGTATGAGGAAGTGAAGCGGGGAAGAGGAGCCAAGAGTTCCTGGGTCTTTAAAAAATAACAACCCAAAAAGCACTCAGGTCTAAATTCCTTCCCTCTGCCATACTCACCACCAATGATCGGTTCCACAGAGGAACCCGAGGAATCCATATATGTGTGTGTGTGTGTGTGTGTATATACACACACACACACAGAGTTGCTAGGGCGGGAATAACACTCCCACTCTGATACATACTGGAAAAAAATCATCCGGATGGATCTCTCCTGCAACCTCCCCAGGCCTGGTACCCTCCAGAAGGGCTGGGATTGCAAGTCCCAATACTCTAGTTCAGTGTTTAATTTTTTTTTTCTCTCAGGACCCCTTCCCACTTTTAAAAATTATGGAAGACCCCAAAAGAGCTTTAGTTTGTATGGGTTATATTTATTGACATTTACCGTATTAAAATTTAAAATTGACACATTTGCTGCCGGTACTGCTTTTCATGATTGATGGGATTTTAATATTTTTTAACAGAGGCTGGCAAATCATTTTGATTTTGCAGACCCCTGAGAGGCTCTTGGGGACCCCCCCCCCCCACGGTTCCTAGGACCATACTTTTAAGAAACACTGCTCCAGTTAGCATTGCAAGATGGCTAGGTGCTAGAGGTGGAAATGACTACCCACTCCAGTATTCTACCAGTGGTGCCAAGGAGACCAAATGGACTGGCACCCAAGATGTTAACATGATGCTGGATGATGAAATTCCCAGGCTGGAAAGTACCCCGTGAGCTACTGGGGAAGAGCAGAGGGCAAGTACAAGATACGGCCCAAAAGAAGCTGAAGGGATGTCCGGCTTTTGAAGCAGCCAGAAGCAAAAGGAAACTTCATTGCTGCAAAGTTATGCATGCTAGTGCTATGTGGAATGTCAGAACCATCACAGAGACAAACTGGCTACTCTCCGAGCAGCAGTCTCAAGACTGAACTTCAACATTCTGGGAATCAGCAAACAGCAAGCGACTGGAATAGGTCTTCTACAGCCAGTGAGTTTTCAGACCTATGATCATAATAAAAGGTTTTGATTTTTTACTGCGAGCAAGAAAATCATAGAAGAAATGATGTAGCCGTTAGTATCATCAAAAGGGTATCAAAGTTGGTGCTTAGGTCAAAATTACAGCACTTCAGGCCTATCCTCAAATCACAGATGGGAGGAAGTGGAAATAACTCTCTTTTTTTGTGGAAGCCATTCTAGGCTCTTGCCTCTGGAAGGAAGGATGGATTAACTCTTCCCAGGCAACATATTTACAGCAATGCTTTTAATGTTTTTCATGTTGCTTTAAATGCTTTTTGTTATTTTTTTAAATTATTTCTTGCACTGTTCTTTTTTGTACTTTGTTTGCCGCCCGTAGTCACATATATGAGATTGGCAGCTACATACATTTAACAAACAGATGATGGTATGCTTAATGTTAGTTAACTTAAACTTACCTTTGGATAATCTGTTTCCCTGGGGCATCAATTTCTGAATTATAATCATACTTCCTTAAAGAAGTGAAGGACAGTATAGATGATTCTCATTCTACAATAATCCTTTGAGAGGGGTTAGAGAGTGAATGAGATAATTTTAGACTTCTGTGCTGCTTTTCTGCACCTCTGTTTTTTGTTTTTTAAATCACACTCTCAAAGCTTGTACATACCTTTGGGCCATGTTGGTTAGAGTTATTTCTGGGAGATATGAATAAGACTGCAGTGTGGTTTGGTTTTGCATGATTGCAGCCAGAATCATTTGTAAACCACAGGTTATGTCTTGATAGATTGTATAAATGTAGTCAATTCCACTTAATTCATTAAACTATGCTTAAGCAAACTGGCTTAGTATAATTTGTGAACCAGATAACAGAATGGCATAAGATCAAAGGAATCTGATTAGATTCCTAATCTAACACTAACAGAGAAGAGTTCCTGTCTTAAAAATTCACACAAGTTGCATCATGAATGCCAACAACATTTTTATTCAGGATGCCTGCCCTCTCCCCCAATACTAAAAACATAATTGCAAAAACAGCTACACAAACCTCGTGCTCTAGGTAAGAATGTTCTCTCGATTGCCTCTTTAGCATCGTTTTGAATCAAATTCATGTTACTGAATGCTGTGCAAACATTCAGATGTGGTACTCTGCAGACAAGGCTTCAGCCGCTGCAGTGAAATAAAAGAGACGTCACCTTGTTATACTGAGAGAAACTACTGGAACGCAAGTAGACTGTTGTATTTTAAAAACTTTTTAAAATACTGCAGGAGCAGCTTGCCTCCTCCTCGGATGAGAAATACAGCATGGTGAGCAGATGGCTTTACTTTTCTCTCATACTGCAGCCTATTCTATTGTGGTTTGGGGACCCCACATCTCCAAATATAGTTTCTAAAATCATGTGCACAACAGGCATTGAATGGATGCTGCTGGTGGTAATTCAGCCTCCGCTGCTGGAGACAAAATGTTGAATGAAATTCTAAAGTAGTGGTAGGAAATATATATAGTCCTCCTGGTATTGCTGAATTCTAACTCCCATCATTCCTCATCATTGGACCTGCTGGGAGCTGGATTTCACCAGTACCTGGAAAGCTGCCTGTTGATCTAAAAGCAAGAGTCTGAATTAAGATCGGGAGGTAGGGATAACTGTGTTTCATGGTGGAACTCTTAAGTCATTTTTTTTTAGTAGGTTAAGAGAGAGTGACAGTTTTTTCTGTCTTGGAAGCAACCAAGTGGTTTATGAATTTTCCTTAGGCCCTTTCCCTTTGATATTTGAGCACCAAGAAGAACTATAGACTGACACAGCAAGGAACTTCATAGATTTTTTGTCAGGTGCTACATTTCTTTGTCTCCACTAGGCTAGAACCTGCAAGCAAAATCTTAGCACCCTCAGGTGAGGTATTTCCAAATACAGCTTTCCATGCAGGGAGTGGAGGAGATGCCAGATGTGTTGAGAGTCCTTCTTGCCGCAGCAGCAGAGTGACATGTTATCTTCGTCAGACATCATTTTTGAAGCAAAATAGAGGGATAGGATAAGATAGGCTGGAAATAGTTGCTTATGCGTAGCAGGACCAGGAACGTGGAATCACTAGCCCCCAGAAGGTCTCCTGAAAAAAAGAAAAGGATGACTATGACAAAGGAGAAACAATAGCAGGGAGGGAAAGAACTGCCATGAGACAAAATGATACAAGAATTCCAGCTAATCACATGCTTAGACCTGAGTCAGCAAGATCAGCCATATATATATGTTGGGGCTCCAACACAATCAAGAATCCATCACCACAATAATATTCCCAGAGCATCCAGCAAGGTTGAAGGCAGCATTGGAGAGTCTTTGAATTGCAGGTCTAGACTCTTCCAGGGTAGAGGAATTTGTTCTGGCTGTTTTGCTCCTCAGGCCCCTCAGGTCCTGGAGGCAGCCCAGGAGGTCCCAGACATGAAGGATGATGCTTCTCAGTGGCTCTCAAGCCCAGAATGTTCAAGACTATATGCTGCTTAATACCCTTTGCAGCTACTGATTTGAGGAGGAAGAAGAGAGGGAGAAGAAAGGAGTGGATTAATTTTCTGCTGATGAGCATCTCTAACTATGCTGTAAAGCAGAATCTTGCAGTAAAACCTTACCCAACCTGGTGTCCACTAAATGTGCTGGACTACATGTCCTATCACTCCCAATCAGAGCCAGCACACATGGTTGGCAACAGGTTGGGCATATCTGCTGCTTGCAATGGACCTTTAATCTGCTCCCTTTTCCTGTCCAGGGCTCCATAAAATGAAAAGGGATGAAGTAAAAATAAAACAATAAGAACTTCCCAACATTCATGTATCAATAACAGACAGGTGCTTTTTTCACATATTGAAATGCCCCCCAACTTACAGCTAATATGATACTGTATATTCATTTTTCTTTCACTTTTTATTATTTGGAATATTTTAATGTTTTTGAGCCAAAAAGTGACTCAGGCGTAATCTTTATAAATTAATATAAGGAATAATGAGCCAATCCTTAATGGAATGCTTCCAGCCAAATCACCTAAGGTTTTTTTCCTGTTTTTTTCCCCCCTTCTGATTTATGTTTGAAAACAATAAATATTTGAAACGACTGTTTCATTTTTAACAATAACTATTGTACTTCCCAAATCCATGCAAATGGGTATTCTAAACCTCTATTTTCCTCAATACTGAGGAGATAGAACTTATTTAACTTAACAGCCAGTTTGGTCTAGTGGTGAGGGCACCAGGCTAGAAAGCAGGGGTCTGTGAGTTCTACTCCCACCTTAGGCAAGAAAGCCAGCTAGGTGACCCTGGGCCAGTCCCTCTCTCTCAGCCCAGCTCACCGCACAGGATTGTTCTGGGGAAAACAGGAGGAGGAAGGAGTATTAAGTATGTTTGCTGTCTTGAGTTGACCAAAAATAAAAGCAAGATAAAAATCAAATGCATCTTTCTTTATGATAGATACATATATGTGTGTGTGTGTGTATATATATATATATATATATAATATGATTATGATATATTATATATGATTATGATAGATACATATATAGATAGATACAGATAAATAATGCTGGGAATAGATAAGGCTGGGAAAGGAGGAAGGAAAGAGAAGAAGAGGACGGCCAGCAGCAAGGTGGATGGACTCAGTTACAGTGGCGATGAGTCCACCATTGGGAGACCTGAAAGACCAGGTTAGGGACAGATCATTGTGGAGAAAATCTATCTGTTGGCCGCTAGGAGTCAAAAACAACTTGATGGCACATAATCAACCAACCAATCAATAAATCAGCCAATAGATATGGGTACAGACTCCATCCATTGAGCTGCTGTTAGCTACTGCCGATCCCAGCAGAATTATAGTCAGCTCTTAGCTTCATAACAAGTTTATTTGCAAGTTACTGGTGTTTGTGAAATCTCCACTTCTTGAGCTTAACTGCAGAAGCTGGGATATATGCCAGCTAATAGGCCTAACCTTCTTGGAAGGAGTAAGAGACATTTTCATCATTAATGAAATGATGGCATGGAGAGGGAACCAAGGGCTTATTCTAACTCTGCAAGGTAGATTGTTTACTCACCTCCTTGAGTGGACAGTGGATCCGTGCATAAAATTCTTGGGGGTATAAGGAGAAGAGGAATCCGTAACCCAAGCAGACTGCTGTCCATATGATGAAGTTGCAGACAGGGCTTTTCCTCTTATTATTAATAGTAAAGTGAAATATCACTATGAAGACAAACAGAAGAAGGGTTAATGGTGTATACTCCAACCACACTGAGCCAAGGAGATCTCAGAGTTACTAATTTCTGAGAACTGTTGTTTGCAGTAGGAATGTCCCTCTTCATTCCCAAATCCAAAATAAGGCAATATGTCTCATCCCTACTGCTATGGAAGGTAAAGTACAGTAATTTGAGAAAGAAAATTCTCAAGCAATGCCTTTGTATGTGGGACTCCCTGCTTCTAGAACCTGGCCATTTTCCTGTTCTTTTAACTGCATCTTGGTCACGACTGAAGTCATGTCTACCAAGTACTTGCCTCTGTTCTGGAATTGTAATTGAAATTCTGGAATTGGAAATTTTTGTTTTCCAATTATTAGTCTTTGTTTTTGCTCTTTGCTCTTGCTTTTTAATTTGTAAAATTGTTCCTTCATGTTTGACATTATTTTCCCCTCCTGTTGGAATAAAGAACCTTAACATTCTCAGGGAAGAAACACTACTTATTTGGTCAATGACTAGCAAAATTTGAAAAAATACAACACCAAAGTAACTTTCTCAGGGAAGGAAAAGCAGCCTTCAACCTAACCATACAATGCACTGTCTGGGGCAATCATACAATTCATATGGCTGGCTGGGGAATTCTGGGAGCTGAAGTCCACACATCTTAATCTTGGCAATTGCCAAGGTTGAGAAACACTGATTTGGGAGCAGGATAATGCCTCGAATTTTTCCATAGCCAGTCTTCCCCAACTTGGGAAGTGCCACTCATCTGAGGCAAACAACTCCCAGGATTCCATAGCCAAGATGTCCAAAGGCTATGTTGACTGAGCATACTGGAAATTATAGTAAGAATACATTTAGAGCATGTGAGGTAGGTGAAGGCTGGTTTGAATGTACTGGCAGCAGAGGTGTAGATATGTCTTCTTGCCATAAGGAACTCCACTGGTAGAGGAACTTCTCTGCCCTCTCTGCAAATGGGTCTGGGAGTTTGGATTGCGCTCAAATGTATAAATGTATATGCCAATATTAAACTCAAATGCATAGGTATGGTGGATGTATGGCCAAAGGGTTACTGAGAAACAAGAGTTTGACATCAGCTTTCTTAGAGAAATTCCAGGGTTTGCTACAGCTTAATATAGTTAGAATAAATCTGGGGCAATTCCACCCCACCAGTGGCAAAAACATGTATCAAAAGGATTGTGTGCCAATTGGGGAGTGGAGAAACCCAAAACTAGAGGAGGGTAGAACAGAAAGAAAGATGGTCCACTAGGAGGACTCCATGCCACACCATTGTTTTGTGGGTCTTGCGTGAATCCTCTGAGGGATGATTCAGTCCATTCCTTGAGGGAGTACTGACCTCCGAAGACGGCAAAAAGTATGAACAAGATGGGATAGAAGAAACCAACGCTCAAGCTGAGGGCGTATTCATGGACAACCGCTGAGACGATGAAGACAGTTAACTTAGCTGCACTTCGGGCTTTCCCTCCAGTCAGCTGGAAGGGAAAGAGTGCAGGTGAGTCATAGAACTCATCTTGGTGTTCACCAATGAACAATGAAGATGGACATAGAGAAATTACATCCAGCAGGTTTACTTAATGGGGTAATATAGGGTGGGTTTGGTAAGCCTATCAGCTTTTTGACGTAGTACAGACAGGAAACCAAACCATGAGTACTAACACTACCTTTATTGTAAGGTTACAGTAACAGAATCTTGCAAGTCTGAATGCGCTTTCCCCCTCCCTCCCTTTATCTTTGTGTGAACTAGGGAGGGTCCCTTCTGAGATGCTTTCTCCACCCCCATTCCTGCTGTGGGCTGAGAAATCTCTTGTCTGACCACTGCCCTAACTGCAGCTCTTCCTCCTGTCCCCCAAGGTTATTCTCACAGCCCACTACAGCCTTACCTACCCATAGGAAGTCTTGTTGAATATAATAGTACAGCCACTCATGCACAATCAGATTCCATGACCGATAGTATTCAGGAAATGATGTGGAATTCCACCAGTCCTAGGCAGGGAGAATGGAATAAATGACATGAAAGAGTCTGCATCTTAACAGCACAGAAATCCCAGTCTTGAAACTGGAACATCACTGCATTTTGGCAAGTAAAAACACAATCCACTCTAGATTGTCTGGGTACAGGTAGTCCTCCGGTTACAACAATTGGGACTGGAATTTCCATCCGTAAGTGATGCAGTCATAAAGCACAACCACATCACTTGGTGATGGCAATCTCTGCAGTCCCAATTGCTGTTGTTAACCGAATCCTACGGTTGTTCCAAGCAACTTCCTGCTGGCTTCCCACAGCCACAGTGGGGCAGCCAGCAGGAAGCTGCAAGTCCCAGGCTGGCAGGTAAGTGGCTTCTGCCAGGTGGGAAAGGGAGTGAGGGGGTGCACTGGAGTGCAGGGGAGGGTTGGGGAGGGTGCATAGGGGTGTGAGGGAGGTTGGAGAGAGTGCAAGAGGGTGCACAAGAGGTGTGGGTTGGGGACAGTGCTCAAGGGTGTGAGGGGTGCATGAGAGGTGCAACGTGGGTTGGGGGGGTACGTGAGGGTGTGAAAGGGTGCACCAGAGATGTGGGTTGGGAGCACGCATGAGGATGCAAAGGGGTACGAGGGAGGTGCAGCAAAGGTCAGTGACGGTGTGCGGAGAGGGTGCAAGTGGCCAGTGCGACGCGAGTGCAGAGAGGCTGGGGAAGGGTGCACTGGTGGGGGAGACTTATCCCAGGGACTTGTGACCTTCCCTGCCAGCTTTGCCTTGACTTTCTGGGGAAGCTGGCAGGGAAGGTTGCAAATGGTGATCATGTGATTGCAGGGTGCTGCAACCAGTCATAAGTGCTAACTGGTTGCCAAGCGCCCAGATCGCAATCACATGACCCTGGTGGAGCTGCAGCGGCCAGAACTCCAAGGACCGGTCGTAACCATCATTCATTCAGCATCATCGTAATTTTGAACGGTTGCTGAATGGGGACTAGCTGTAATTCAGGGATTCACAATGGGGTACAAATGGGCATTACAGTTATAGCCTCAAGAGACAGTCCTGGTTGCCCATCAATTAAAATGAAGTATTTTAAAAATCTGAAATCTTAACAAGATTAACCATTCTGCATAAGATGTTGTTAGGCTGCTGAAATTTTGTAAGATCTAACATGAGAATACTGGCTTCTCTTGAGATTTCAGTGTTTTTACATGAGATCTCATGCAAAATTTCTAAAAATCTAATGATATTCTAAAAATCTAATGTTTTTGTGATCTAGCGAGATTTCAGCCATTGGGAGGGCATGAATGGACCACCATGTGGGATCTTGCAATGTCCTTTGGAACATGTTGTTGATCTCTTATAATTAGTACCCAAACATACATGTTTCTACAGGTAGTCCTCGTTTAGTGACCACAATTGGGACTGGCAACTTGGTCGTTAAGCGAAGATGTCACTGAGTGAAACAGCAACTGTGCTTATTATTTATTTATTTGTTTGTTTGTCAAACTTATATGGCCCCCCATCACACCTGAAGTGACTCTGGGTGGCATACAATAAAACCAAGAATTAAAACATTTTACAAACATAGGACCTTAATGTCAGCTTCTTCAGTACAACTGCTTTGGCATGTTGAAATGTGGTTTTGTTTTAGAACCATAATGTCTCAGAACTCTTTGCAAAGTTTTTCAAGCAATCCTTCATGGAGCGGCCAATGGACCTTTCAGGGATATCCATGTGGAATGATATCCAGCCCGCTCCCCATGTCTTCCTTGCAACCTCCGGTATAATTACCTTATAGAAACCACGGTCTGCAAAGCGCAGCATCTCAGCAAACATGTTTAGCCAGCAGTGCTGGTAGCAATAGTAGAACACGAGTATAATAAATGTCCCTAATGAGAAAGGTGAAGAAAACATCAGTCCTTCCCACTTTGGGGAGAGAAGAGAAATTAAAAATGCAATTTTTAAAAAATGCAAAATGGACCTTCCGTCTTTGGTTCTGGATGGATTAAAGGATGGGGACCTTTTCCATCTTTGGTTCTGGATGGAGTAGTACTGCCCCAGACAGACTTGGAATGCAATCTGGGGATTCTCCTGGACTCACAGCTCCTGCTCAAAGAGTAGGTGGCAGCCGTGGTGCACTCCTCTGTGTGTTGCACCAGTTGCGTCCATTCCTGGACCCGGAGGCCTTGCTCACAGTTACCCACACCCTCGTAACCTCTCGCTAGGACTACTGCAATGCTCTCTACATGGGGCTGCTCTTGAAGAGCATTTGGAAGCTTCAACTGGCACAGAATGCGGCTGCACAGATAGTAAATGGGGTTGGATATACCACACATATAACACCACTAACGCGTGAGCTGCATTGGTTACTAGTGTCATGGGGGGCTCAGATTCAGAGTCCGAAGACGAAGAAGAGCAGTCAGCTCCTAAAGTGGCCTTGGAGGACAAGCAGTCAGCCCTGGGGTCACCGGATGAACAGCCACCGAGCAGGCAGAGGGGGCAGGGCTGGCCAGCGATCACAGAAGATGAGGACTCGGAATTGCCACCCCTTCCCAATGCAAGAGCTTGGAGAGCAGAAAGAAGAGCAGAACAGAGGAAGTCAGTGAGGTTACTCACAAGGAAGCAGCTTCACCCTCCTAAATGAGCCCCACCAGGGCTGCTCTTATTTCAGAAGAGCTGTGAGCTTGAGACTGGTGCTGGAAACAACCGTTTGCTAACTCAGACTCTCTGTGCCCTGCCTTTTGACTCGGAACCCAGACCGGCTGATGACTTTGCTAACGCTTTGGACCCTTGGATTTGCCTGACCGTTCTTGCGCCTGCTCCTTGGACTTTAAACTCTTTATTTAGGCAAGGTTGTTGGACTTGTGAGAACTTGGTTTCTTTTGCATGCGTAAGTTTGCACATAACTTTTGTCTGCTGTTTGCTATAAGTAAGAGTTTGCAACTACCTCTTGTGTGTTTGTGTGTGCCTGGCCTGAGACAGGACAGCTAGTGCGCTTCTGGGTGCAATTCAAGGTGCTGGTTGCCACCTTTAAAGCCCTGCATGCCTTGGAACTGAGTTACCTGAGGGACTGTCTTTTCCCAATAGTTTCTACCTGTCTGATTCGCCCCAGCAGGCTGGGCATGCTACGGGTCCCGTCAGCCAAAGAATGTTGGCTGGCAGGGGCCAGGAGATATGCCTTCTCTACTGTAGCCCCTGCCCTTTGGAGCATCCTTCCTTCAGAGATTAGGCTGGCCCTGTCGCTGTTGGCCTTTTGTAAGGCCCTAAAGACCTGACTATGTGCCCAGGCCTAGGACCCCGAAGGTGTTAAGGGCCCCGTCTCCTAGCTATACTGATAACTATTATGATAATTTTCTTGGCTGCCATATAGATTTATCTTTGTATTGTTTTTAATTGTTTTTATTGTTTTAAAACTGTTTGCCCCCAGAGTTACTTGGTTGAAATGGGCGGCTATAGAAATTAATTAAATAAATAAATTATTGTTACAGATTTAAGATCAACAACTGCAAATGAAACTTATTTAACCCTTGCCTCTTAGGCTAGTGGAAGAAGAGCAGAATGACCTTGCCTGTGTGTTTTTTACTCTCCTGTTGGAATACAAGTAGTCCTTGTTTAGCGACTATCTCATAGAGCAACTGTTTGCAGTTATGATGGTAATGAAAAAGTAACTTTGCGACCAGTCCTTGCATTTATGACCTTCACAGGTCTGTCAAGCAAAGGAAAGCTGAAGTAGATCACCTCACAGCTGCAGTTTCATTTAGCAACCATTTCACTTAATAACCAAGTTGCCGGTCCCAATTGTGGTTGTTAAACGAGGATTACCTGTATCAGGAGACTACCATGGTACTGCGTGACTTGAGATCACTTGTACCTGTTTTTAATTAAGGTTGTAGCCTAGATTGTCTAAGATTCAGACACCTGCAGACTGGTGCCTTCTAGATGTGTAAGTCTACTACTACTACTACTACTACTATTAAATTTTTATCCCACCTTTTTTATATATAACTCAAGGTGGCAAACATACCTAATACTCCTTCCTCCTTCTATTTTCCCAACAACAACCACCCTATGAGGTGAGTTGGGCTGAGAGAGAGGGACTGGCCCAAAATCACCCAGCCAGCTTTCCTGCCTAAGGCAGGACTAGAACTCACAGTCTGCTGCTTTCTAGCCTGGTGCCTTCATCGCTAGGCCCAACTGGCTCTCGCTCCCAACATGTGTGTGCAAAGTATCAGGAGGCAGGCAGCTAATGTAGTTTCTCTGGAAGGCAGTGGTCAGGTCAAGTCCTTCTGGACTGATCCAAATGTAATACTGTACACCTATGAGTGATTTTAGCTGGGGACTGAGGGAAGATGGCTTCACCTTTATACAAGGAAGGAGGACTCCTTAAATACCAGCCACCCTTTTTCAGAGGCAGAGAAGAGGCTGCAGCCAAATAACCAAAGGATGTAGATTGCAGACAGACTGCTAAAACTATATACAGTGGCATCTCGGGTCACGAACGCTTCTGTTCACAAACAATTC